GGCCGCGAGGGCCCGCCCCGGCGGGGGGCGCGCGGCAGCGCCGCCATCTTCCCCGGCGGTGGCTCCGCGAAGGCCGCGGGGCCCGGGACGTTTAAAGGGCAAATTAAAGTTATCTGGTCGCGGCCGGGGAACGCTATGTCAGAGCATGTGCCTGCTGTATTAATAGCTCCCGGGAGGCACAGGAGGGGACTGGGGAAGCTGGCAAGAGCGCCTCAGGCAAGGTTAACTGTTTCCTGCAGGCCAGAGGCCGCGCTGGGGCTGAAAGCTTCCTCAGAGAGCTGGGGGAGCCGTGAGGGGGCCGCTTGGCGGCTGAAGGCAGTTTGAAGAAGCAGGAGTGCTTGAAGCCTTGGCTTTGTGTGCATGGATTTGCACCGTGAAGACTGAGGGGAAGGTGGATGCTGACCAGTCCCCTGGTACGGACGTTGTCAACAAAGGTTACCAGGGGTGCATAGTTAACCTGGGAGGTGCAGTGTCCGTGAGCATCAGTAACCAGAGTGTGTGCTAGACCTCTCAGGGTCAGGGATGAAAGAGAGCAACTTCATGTTTGATACACTGTGTGAGCTTGCAAGCACGGAGGTCTTTAAATACCTTGGCATGCTCCAGGACCTGGCTTTCCTGAAGAGGAGACATTGTGCCTTCCTGCACTGTACCCTCATTTCAACCCTGCAAGGTCAGACAAGAGTGGCAGTACCCTCAGAAGAGGGGAGGGAGGGAACTCCGGGAAGCGTCTGCCCAGGCAACTTGCACCGGATGTGAAAAGTAAAGGCTGTAGTGAAACCTTCCTTCAGTCAGTGCCTGCTGCTTAGGGACACATTTGAGTCTCAGATGTTTCTCATCTGTTCTTTCTAGCTGGCCCCCATAAGAAAGCAAGATCTTACGATTCACTGTTGGGTGGCCTTGTGGTGAAAGCCAATGCAGCAAGTTGTAGAGGTTTGCCTTAAAGAAGGGTAATGGGGTCTGCTTTGATTTGATGGTATAGTATCAATAATGGAAATAGGATTAATCTTAATGTAGATGCTAAAAAATTGGCTGTTCCACAAAGAGACTTTCTCTTCAGGATAGCAAATCTGTTCTCACTCATGTGTGTTAGCACAAGTCAATGAGACTGTAAATTTGGTCCCCCATCTATCTTGCTGTCTGCTGCTCTTAGGTCTGCTGAGGTAGAGGTCTCTTCTCATGAACCTCAGCTCTAGGAAGCGGATTGCAGCTTTAACTTCCAGAAGCACCCTTTGCACCTTGGCCATCTGGAGCAGATAGAGCTTTTCCCCAGCTTCTAAGAAAGGGGAAGAGAGCGCCCCAAAAAAAGACCTTTTTCCTCAGCAAGGACTGGAAGCAAGTGTCAAGTAGAAAGCGTAGGAGATCCCTAGAATTAGTGAGTTGGAAGGATTGTGGTTTAATGTATGTACCCTTGACCTTTCCTTTTTCTTCATCACACATCACTCACCAGGTCCAGTGTCTCGAGTTTTCACAGGAAAGCAAATATGTCTTTAAAGTCTCAGGGCTTCTACTGTTGATTTCTTACAGACCGATGTGATGGTGGTGCTCACAATTGCTGCCCGACTGTCCATACTGAGGTCTCAGCATGTGCACTCAGGTGTCAGCCAGTGCCCTGCTGACTGGTGTGTGGTGAGTGACAGAGGGAGGAACAGGGGGCCTGGAATGACTCTAGGGGTCGCTGTCTAACCTGAAGGGGATTTTTGCCTGCCAGTTCCCCACCATCTTTGTGTTAGCTCATTTATATTGCCTTTTTAAAACAAACAATCAAAAGACATTTTTACATCATTTAAATTGTGCTTGCTTTTATTTTTTTATTGACATTTTATTAAATTCTTTATCATGAGAATTCTAGTTAGCTTTTGAAGTTGTTGTGCCTCGTTATTCCACTCCACAGAGGCTCTTTGGTGTAATAGATTTTTCTGTAGCACTAATACTAGTTGCCTAGGATTGCCAGTATTGAAAGAAAGCAGTGCATAGAAGGTGCATAGCCACTTCTGCTGCGTATGCTGTCTCTTCCCTGATCCCAGGTGTCTAGTTCCAGGAGATACTTGGCTTGCTAACAGTTTTAGCAAAAGCAGGTCTGGACCAGGACAGATGTCAGCTTCTCTGAGGGTTATTCTTCATTTGTTTGACTTTTACTCCAAATGCCCGTTTTGGATCTTTCTTATGCTATTACTGTAAGAGTTCAAATGTATCCTGTAAAGAACTTATTACTAACTCTACCAGTACCACCAAATTTGAGGATAGTAATTTCCACTAGCTGGAAGTGCCATTAAAAAAAAAGTGAAAGGAACTTTGGCTTTTCATACAGTTAGTTGGTGTTTGGTGTTCTACATTCAGAATAGTTACTGTTACTTTTGTGGATAAATGTTTCAAACAGTTTTGAAAATGCAGGCTTTCCTTTCTGAATTACTGAAACCCAGCTGTTAAGCCTCATCTTCTTTAGATCTTTGCAGCTTGGGAAGGATTAGGTGGCTGAATTTGTGGGTGCTCTGTATTGCTGACATAGCATAAAGACACTGGAATTTGTTCGTAAAAATTCTGAGCTAAAATAATAACCTAGATCTGCATTTTCAAAAGAGATTAGTGACTGACTGCATTCTGCTTTGATGTGTGAAAAGCCAGCTTGAAACGCTACAGGAGATCAGCTTTTATAGAGTATTGTGTACCCTTGTTTATTTGCATTTGCAAGACACTGGAAACTCTAATGTCAAGGCTAGGCCAGACACAAAATAAAGAAGTTTCTTCTCAAAAGTCAGCAGTCTGTGTCTGACAGCATGTGTGTGTCTGCACACATAGGGGAGCACAAGGAGTCAGCCAGACCATCCTGACCCCCAGCGTGGACAGTGATAGGTAGACAGTGTATTGGCAAGATGCCAAGCAGAAATAATGTTTGGTTTGTGTTGGTTTTTTTTTCAGGAAATATTTGTAGGGTTGTAGTAAATTCTCCTTGTATAAGATTGGTTTATGTTTATGATCAGTTCCTCCTAAGTAAGAGGAAAAGCATGGAAGAAGGCAAAAAAAATGACAGTGTGTAAACATAAGCAATAAACAATGAAGATTAATTTAGTGATCTAATTGATCTGGTTGTAGGCATGAGCCAACATTTTCAGACTTGGCTATAGAGGGCTAAAAGAATAAATAAGGGTTGCTCATACTTACTGTAATAGAGAACCACTAGTCAGTGGAAAGACTGGTAGTGGTTAAGGTCTATGCGCCATGGTCTAGATGTGTAATAGGATTGTAAGACAGCATTTTTTAGACCAGAAAAAAGAAATATAATCACTAAAGTGATGAGAGCTTGAATCAAAGCATTATCTTTTCAAATGGATAGAAAAAAACAATTTTCAGCCATAATATGTAGGAATTGATCAGCAGGATTTGCAACTGGTATGTGAGACTCAAGGTAAGAGACCCAAATCAGAGATAGAAGGGGCTTTGTTAATAGAGAGATTAGCTTTGTCACATGTGCCTGAGCATGTGACAGTTTTCTGTATTTGCTTATATAGCTGCACTATCCCTGTATATGGGCACACCTACATTGAAGCAACAGACAGGTAGTTATTAATACAGCTACATACAATGTCTGCAACCTAATTTTACATCATGTTGGAGATGAAGGAGTGGGACCATTGCTCCAGAAAAAATGACATTTTGATTTAACTGATCAACTGAGGTTAGTGAAATGGGACAGTGAAATAAAGGTCCTAGATTCCTTTTAAATTATAGGCACACTAGTAGCAACTTGCACTTTCTTCCCAGCTGTGATCCTCTGTTACACCAGTAAGTTTTCCTCATTAATAATTTTCTTATAAAACTAACTGAAGCAGAGCTAATCAGGACTTTGCCAAAAACAGCATTTTTCGTTATTATAAGTTACCCAAATAATAGAATCAAAAAATAGTGATTTGGAA